TGCACAAACTCTGGATAAGTAGTGTCAGCATTGAACTGAATCACTGGACACACCACTGGTCTGGATGAACTGGCCGTTGGTGTGAAAAAATCCCCCCTACATGTGCTGTTGGAAAACAGCACCCACTCAGCCATGTTCGCCAAGTTTATCTGTAACTCAACTGCCTGGAAATTCCTACTGCAAAACCATCAGGGATTCTCAGCTAGGGTGAGATAACACTTATCAAACTGTCTTGTACAGGGTGCCAGTCAATCCACAGAACTTCTAGAAGGTTCTGTCGTGGTGCCAACTGAGGTGTCACAAATGGGAGAGTATTGTATATGTGAAGTGTCAGCAAACGCACCATGGGGTTACATTCTGTGGTCAGGTCCTGCAGGGCCATCTGACCCAGAGGCAGCTGCCTCAGAACACTGACCTCCCAGCATGCTGGGAAGGGGGAAGGAGAGAGGAGGGGAAGAGATGGGAGGAGGAGGAGGGAGGAATGTCTCTCTCTCTCAGCTTCCAGGAGCCAGGCCCGCCCTCCGTGTCATCTCCAAGCAGGTGCAATTTATCCTTTGCATTTCCTTCTCTGAACTCTGCCCCCACACCCCCACCACCTGTGCTTCTTTCCCTTGGCCCCAATTGCTGCCCAGGGCCCTCAATAGGGGAGCCTGCTCTCTCAGATCTACCCCAAGTTACCTACTACCCCCATCTTGTCCCTGACCCAATCAACACTCCCCCTGCTTCACAGTAGCTCACGGACCCTCTAACATCACTGTACTTCAATGCCTTCACTTTTAAAGCATGCCTGGGCCTCACCCTCAAATATTTTGATTAAGTCACCTAGGGTAGCATTCCAAGTGATTCTGATATGCATCAGGGCTGAGAACCCTGACTAAATGCCCAAAGCTTCTGATAGCATTTCTTCACCCCAAAAGTACAAACGACTGATGAGTACTTATTAGCAGATACTGGTAGAATTTAGGGCATTCCTTTAATGAAAAAGATAAAGCAACAATTTTTAGATTTGAGGGACAGGCCAGCCAATACATTAATAATTTATCTGCAATAAATATACCTGCATTATTCTGATTTTTGTACCTTCTTATCTTCCTCCACCCTGAATTCAAAGTCTTTAGAGATTCTATCTCCCCCACATTTCCCCACACTGCCCTTCTCCAGCTCCCATCAGACGCAGCTGACAAGAGGTGTGAATAAGGACAGGGCCAGTAGTGATGGAATGGGACTGACCACAGCTGTCCCCAGGGATCGTTCTTAAGCCAGGCTTGTACACTTAGTTCTCTTCTCCCTTCACACCAGTACACTGTCAGGGGTTCTCAGGTGTGTTAGAGTACAGACTCCAGAAGTCAGGGACTTGTGGGTGATAGCTGATCCCCATATCCCTTATGTCTTTCTTCTCTCACAAATGTAATCTCCAGCATGGATTCTGCTAATGTGCCCACAGAGGACGAAGGCTGGGCTGAAAGGGCCAGGCTGTGGTGCCACCCAGGTCTTCTGTTTTCCCTCTGGTAGCCTTTTTATTTGGTAGATAATTTTGGTTCTATTCTTAGCACTAATGCAGAAATCAAACAAGACTTAAACCAAAAACACAGTGTAATTTGTGTAGAGCCTGCTGCGTTTAGAAGCCTCAGGAAAGTACAGAGAGAAATGGCATTGGACTTGGCACACCCACCTCAGTTGCGTCCGAATGCACAGGGTCCCCTGATCCAAAGCTTGCCTATGATTGCAGGGGCTATAGATGTCTTTTGCCCTAGAGCGGAAAATTTTGTCATCTAGCTTTACCATTTATGGTGCTACATACCTAGTAGCTACGGGGGGCTCACCTTTACTGCGTGCTTCATCAGCACTGCCTTCGGTGACTTCCCATTCTGTGAAGGGGAGCCTGAGGGCAGATGTCAACCAGCTCACCCTACCTGAACTCAAAGCCCAAGCTCAGAACCACCAAGCCCTGGAGCCATCTCACGGAGAAATATTCTCAGAGATTGACTTATAGCATTTCAGGGCTATCGACTTGATATTCCTCAAACAAAAAATGTGGAGAAAATATATTAATTCAATGCTTTTTTTTTTTTTATAGACAGAGTCTCACTCTGTTACATAGGCTAGAGTGCCATACTGTCATAGCTCACAGCAATGTCAAACTCCAGGGCTCAAGTGATCCTCTTGCCTCAGCCTCCTGAGTAGTGGAGACTATAGACGCCTACCATAATGCCCTGCTAATTTTTCTATTTTAATGGAGACAGGGTCTCACTCTTGCTCGGGCTGATCTCAAACTCCTAAGCTCCAACAATCCACTCACCATGGCCTCCCAGAGTGCTAGGATTACAGATGTGAGTCATCTCACTGGCCAATTCAATGCTTTTCTATCGCTCCCTAAATTAAGGGGAAGAAAAGGCAGCAGGGAGTATAAACCACATGGGGTGATGTGTACAGGTTTCTGGATGAACCAGCTGCATATGAGCAACTTCTGTTTCCTGAGTCTCTGAGGACCCGTCCATCCTCAGGCTCCCTCTCTCAGCCACCAGGGACAGAGAAAAGTCACTAATATGGTTCCCAAACTGTGTCAAGAGGCACCCTGAGTCACTGCAGCAAATTCCCAGGGGCACCACAGGGTATCTTAGAATCTGAGGGACACTCATCAGGGCTGGATCTCTGTGGGACACTGTGTGGGCTACTGGCTGGGTAGAGTTCATGGTATGGACATCAGCTCAGACTTCATTCCTCCTGATGGTATCTTATCTTTGTGGAGCTGAGTTCTGTTTGATAAAATTATGGAGTGAAAATCGATTGTGAAACAAAACAATCCAATCTGATCTCAAGGTCTGAGAAGTTATGCAGGCTCCTACAGGCCCACACTTGCTATCAGCAAGCAATCATGGTTCCTAAAGAATGAAACAAAAATATTATTCTTTTTCTTGCAATTTATCTTGTTTTTCAAATGGCTGCTCGGTAGTTAGGATACACAAACTTAAGTTGCTCAGCCCTACCTACTTAATAAATAAAGCTGTAAGGAATTTATTTGGTATGAAACTGTGAAAAAAAGTGAGACACTCTGGTCAGTGTGAATAACCTCTATCTGTCTCTGAGCTGCTCACACAGGTCGGGTGTGACTCCAGAAGGGAACCAGGCCAAGGACTCTCAGCTGTCCCCACCACCATGTTGCCTAGAAATTGACCTGAAGGACAGCACAGATCAAACCCAGCATGGAGAGTGAGAGTAGGGAGTGCAGGGCCCAATGAGGGTGGGGTTGGAGAAGGTGGGCTTGGCAGTTAATCAGTTGAGGAAGGAGGAACCAGTTTGATAACACTGTCCATGAGACAGCGAGGAGGAGGAATATCCTTTTGGAGAGACAGCAGGGAATCAACAAGGCCCTCATTGTGCATGTGTGCACATTTGTGTGTGCATGTGTGTACAGTGTGCACACACAGGAGGACAGCCCGATCTCATAGGGAACCAATGGCTCCCTTCGTGCATGGGTGGAAAATCCTCCTTAAAGAGGAATGGTAACATCCACAGCACTGGGGACGGTCACCATTGCCAAGTGTATGCAGGGCTTCCCTTCCTGAAAAAGTGGGGGTCACTCAGGGTGAGCTGTTGAGGACAAGAGTGGACAGCTGGCCCCTGAATGTGGCCACACTGCTGAAGGAACTCAGGTGGGCACAGAGGCTTCAACTACAGGAGCCACAGCAATGGCAATGAGGTTAACCCTAGGTCTATCTTTGAGAATGCCATTTTGAGTGACACCCAGCACACAGCAGGTTAGAAGGGATGGTGGAGATTTAGAGAAATGAGACTCAATCTCCATGAAAACAAACGTAACAAAAAAGGATGTGAGGGCAAATGCTAACTCCCCCTGCCCCTCCTGGCCAGACTCCGCCCTCAGGGGACCTAGGTTTCCCAGGATTGCTGTTCCTTGCATACTCTGCCTCTCACTTGGAGAAGCCTATACCTAGGTTAATCCCCTGGGCTTCTCCTCAGGGGTGGCCCAGCAGCGTAGCTGAGTCCTGCTGCACTGGATCACATGCAGGTAAGGCTGGGACAGGCCCTGTTGCTATCCCAGGAGCCTGCTCTCCTTAGAGGGAAGAAGAGACCACTGCTGACCTATCTCAATCACAAAGGAAGTCATCAACTTCACAGGGGAGGGAAAAAAAATTAAAAAGAAATATAGGAAAAAAATGGGGGAAAGCTGTGTTTGGGACTTGCTTTAGGGCCTGTGGTCCCCGGGGAAGTCTGCTGAGGCTAGCTGGGATTGTTCTAACCCCTTTGTACATGGTGGGCTGCTCACAGGACCACACTAGATGGAGGAGAAAGGATTACTGGTAAGGGGAGGATTAGCAGTCTCATGGGAACAGGCCATGTTTATTTCACCTTTGCTGACTGATTCCTGGAGAAACAGAGGAACAGATGGTCAAGAGAAAAAAATAGGATTGAGAAATGAGAGCCTGGCAAACACCACGCTAGGCCAGCCTGTCTCTGATCATATCCCCAGGGTCCGGAGATCATCCCCTGGTGTGTAAGGTCTCTATGGTTCAGACTGAACTAGACTGTCCCGTCAGTCACAGATTAGGAATTTCAACATGAACCCTCATATTTTTAATCTAACCAGATTTGTGTCTTTGACCTTGTTCTGGTTGACTGAGTGTTTCAGGGCAGGGTATATACAGTGGTTGGCCGTGGTGGAACAGCTGCGTCTTACAGACAGCACCTCATGTCATCGGAGGGGACCTAGATGGATGAAGACTGATGTGTGTGCTGCCACCTGCGAAGAGATTAGTCCCACTGTGAACTGTTATGAAACTATCATTATAACAACAGAGATGTAAAAATTATGGCCCCCTGCTAAGGCGACGGCAGCCTACCGCTGTGCCGGGTAAGATGCCTCATTCAGTCCAGAGAGGTTTGCTCTGGCTTATTGTAGGAGACATAATTGCTTTTGTTACACATTCATAGGAATCAGGAAAGACATTCTTTATGCTCCTCATTGTCAATGCCCTACTTACCAACTTCATCCCTGATGTTTGCAAGTTCGAGTGACAGCTCTTTTTCTTTCACAAGGGCACTTTCATTCTGAAAAAACAAAACGGATACCGAGAGTCCCCTAGTTTTATGCTAGATAAGCACTTTCACATGTTTAATTAATGAATCATATTAAGCAAATATTTATAAGTCCAGCCCTTAAGGAGATAATTTTCTCATTATATAAGCATATAAAAACTTACAAAGCCAAGTCTGACTCATTCATTTGTATCACATTCAAGTGGCACAGCTTGCGAGATAATATTAATAATACCCATGGCTGTGCTTTTTTTTTTCCTCTAGATTACACCCTTCTGTATCATCTTGCAATAATTTTTTGTATGTTTATGTCCCACATATTAATCTACTGTCATACATTATTATACACTGTTAATTATTCTCACTATGATGAGATTTTTGACCATAAAAAGTCTGTGCTGTATTTCTGCGATGGCAAATGCTTGCTTTACCAACTGTTCCTTGAACTTACCCGTTTGTGCATACATAGTTAGCTACCTAATGAATAATAAAGATCAGAGTGGAAGACAACAGGAAACATTTGTCTTTGTAATTAAGAGCAACAAGAAGACTTCAGGTTTCCAAGTTTTTTGTTACACTATCAGCATCCACAGAAGGAAAAAGAGGAAATCCCACACTTGAGGGATCATTTAGTGCAAAAAAATGCCAGACGTAACTAAATGACGGCTAAGTTGTTTTCAAATCTAACATGTCCTGTGACATAAAACAGAGAAGTAGTGGAAAATATGCTGAATTGGGTTGTTGAGACACCATCAACGGTTTATTATAATTTTACTACTCATAATAACCAGGAAAGAGGTGCTATATAAATAAATTCTCTTCAATTTAGAGATACCAAAAATAGAGGCCTTCTGAGAAAGTCTCTGTCATTTTATAGAAGGTATTTTGAATGTCATCTGGGCCTTGTGAACGTTCCTTCCTAACCACCTCCACCTTTGGTCTCTGTACCTGTGATGAACCTGTGCAGGATAAGACCAGGCAGTTCTCACACTCTTGTTCCTGAATCTGCTGCATTTACATGCGGGTAACACGTGTGCTACTTTGGGTTTACAGGTGGGTCTTGGGCTACTCAAAGGGCATTTGCTAAGCAATACCATAATATTCATAATGCCAAAAGTACAGCCCTATTTTGGGGCGCTCACACCTGTAATCCCAGCACTTTGGGAGACCAAGGCCAGTGGATGCTTGAGCTCAAGAGTTTGAGACCTGTCTGAGCAGACTGAGACCCTGTCTCTACTTAAATAAAAAAACTAGCTGGGCATTATGGCAGGTGTCTGTAGTCTCAGCTACTGGGGAGGCTGAGGCAAGAAGATTGCTTGAGCTATGACTCCGTGGTACTTAGCCCAGAGCAACAAAGTGAGATTCTGTTTGAAAAAAAAAACCAAACAAAACCCCCCAACCTATTTTAATAATAAACTGAGTGTTATTTTAGGCACAGGAATTAACAATTATTAGTCAATGGTTCGCTTAAGAAAATGAAGCAATAAGAAAATTCATCCTTTGAGAGACAATGGATGCTGCTATGGTCTGAATGTGTGTGTCTTCACCCCAAATTCATACACTGAAATCCTAACCCCCAAGGTACTGGGAGGTGAAGACTTCGGGAGGTGGTCAGGTCATGAGCCCTCATAAATGGGGTCAGTGCCCCTATAACAGGGGGCCCGGAGAGCAGCCCTGCCCCTTCTGCCCTGTGAGGGTGCAGCAAGGTGTCACCTACGAGAGAGTGGCCTACACCACACACTGGATCTTCCTCCGCCTAGACCTTGGACATCCCACCTCCGGAAATGTGAGAAGTAAGTTTCCGCTGTGGGACCCAATTTATGGTATTTTCTGATAGCAGCTTGCACAGACTAAAACCCAACAGACAACCCTTCCCCCATCTCATGCCTGGCGTGCTTTCCTTCCCAGTGATACAAGGTTCCCCCATTCTGGGCTGGACAAGGACCCTCTTTCCAGGCCTAAACAGATTTCTTTTCTCCAAACTGTACTCTTGGGATACAAGCAAGACTAGAGAAAAGCAGTTTTGCCAGTATTTCAGGTAAGCCGGCCTCTTCTGAGGTCGACTCCCTGCCACTTTTGCCCAGGGCCAGAAAGACATTCACCAGTTAATACACTCACTCACTAATCAACATTGAAAAGCTGTCTTCCCTCTGCCAAGTCCTGGCCAAGTTTACCTCTCAAGACCTCCTAGTTTACAAATGGTATATAACCCTCCAGACAAAAGACCCACATGGGACCTCCCACTTGGGTCTCCCCCCTCTGCCAGAGGCTCTGGTGCCTTTCCTTCCTCCTGTGTTCTTTTCTATCTAATACATCCTATCTTATCACTGATCTGTGTGGTAGTTGGTTCATTCTTTGAATCTCCAAGACCAAGGACCTACTGTAGAAAGAAATTCCATCAATATCGGCCCATAGCATCCTTTGCTTTCCCTGAATTTCAAGGCTAGCAATTATACCAAGTATAATTTTGTTTGTTTTTTTTTTTGAGACAGAGCCTCAAGCTATCCCCCTGGGTAGAGTGCTATGGCATCACAGCTCACAGCAACCTCCAACTCTTGGGCTCAAGCGAGTTTCCTGCCTCCGCCTCCCAAGTAGCTGGGACCACAGGTGCCCGCCACAACGCCCGGCTATTTTTTGGTTGCAGCTGTCATTGTTGTTTTTGGCGGGCCCGTGCTGGATTCGAACCCGCCACCTTAGGTGTATGTGGCTGGCGCCTTAGCCACTTGAGCCTCAGGCGCTGAGCCCCAAGTATAATTTTGTTAATCATGAAATGAAGTTACTTCAATGTCATGCCCACTGCATGAGGTTGTCGTGAAAGTTAAATAAATTAAGGTATGTGACGTAGTTAGAATAGTGTCCAGCACTGAATAAGCTCGTGCCAATGTTAATTGTTGTAGTTCTGCTGCTTTGTGTTATTTCATGAGCAACTGGATAACATCCTACATATAATAGGTGATTTTCCATATTAATTATCTAAATATGTTCAGAACTTCCATATGAGGTTTATGCTCTGGTTTTTAAATTATCTTCCTGATCTTCCCTGATTTTATGCTACATTTCGATTTGCTTCAAAGATTGGGAAACCTGGTACAGGAAAAGCATCCTAATCAGATCACAGGGATCCAGCTGACAACCAACTTGTTACTACAGGTATTTTGGGGTGGGTCAATTTTAGTATTTACCTTGAAATAACTTTACAGTCAAAAAACTAACTGCTTTCCACTATCATGAATAATTCTGAACACTCTAATTCCTGAATAGTATTCAGCCACAGGACTGAAATACTATTCTCATCAGTCCAGAAATATAGCATTTCTATGGTGCTTACTCTCATCGCTCTGAGAGTAGCAAAGGCATAGACCAGGCCAGGTAGTGAACAACTAGAATGTAACAAAAATAACAAACTAACTCTAATTTCTAATCCAAAGCCAGCATTTCCCTCAGTTCCCAGTAGTGATCCCCTGCGGGATGTCAACAGTGTCACGCTGTAGGCATCTCCCATATCATAACAATCAGCCTGCATTTTCCAGCCACAGAAAAATCAGGCATTTTGGGAAGGAGTGGCTAAGAGCGCTGTGAGTGGGACAGGTGTGCTTGGGGACAGGGCTGATCAGGGAGGAGACTATTGTTTCTTTCTTTTTTTTGGAGACAGAGTCTCACTTTGTCACGCCTGGTAGAGTGCCGTTATGTCACAGGTCACAGCAACCTCCAGCTCTTGGGCTTAGGCGATTCTCTAGCCTCAGCCTCCAGAGTAGCTGAGACTACAGGCGCCTGCCACAACGCCTATCTATTTTTTCGTTGCAGTTTGGCTGGGGCCGGGTTTGAACCCACCACCCTTGGTGTATGGGGCTGGCGCCCTACTCACTGAGCCACAGGTGCCGCCCATAGGAGATTGTTGATGATGACCTTCAGAGGCGAATCACTTTGCCTTGGTGGGCAGGCCTTCCCCACCCAGCTGTTGCTTTAGGACAGTGGTTCTCAACCTGTGGGTCATGGTCCCTTTGTAACAATAAAAATATATCGGTGCATTAGGAAGGTTGAGAACCACTGCTTCAGGAGAAACATAAATAAGATTGAGGGGAACAAAGTGAGAGAATAAAACATAAGAAGCAAGAAAAGAAATGGAAGGGACGGGAAGAGAGAGAGAGGGACTGAGAAGTAGGAAGGAAATGGAAGCGAGAGTAGAGACCTCCTACCGTCTCCGTTTAGGGAAGCAGAGGCTCCGTTTAGGGAAGCAGAGGCCATGGAAAGAGCTAAGAAGACCGAATGCAGATGGTCCCACCCATCTTGTTCACACCTTCTTCAAACTCAGGCTATAAAATCACCTGGCTTTAAACTAGTCACTAAGTGGCTGCCAAAGATAAGCAAAGAACTCGATGGCTAAATTCGGGTAAATTCTGGCTAAATATCATTTACTAATTACTAAGGGTTATTTATGCTAACATTTACCAAACACTCTCTATGGTCCAGCCTTAAGTCTGCTGAGCCTTTGACTTCATTTATAGCTTCAAACACCCCAGAGGCCCTGGATTTTATTTCCTTTTATACAAAAGGACACTGGGGCTCTTTGGTGAAGTGACCAGGCCTGCACAACCCACCAGGAAATGACAGAGGCAGGAGTTTTCACCCATCATCACGCTGTTCATCAAACACACAGGAGTTTTCACACTGTTCATCAAACACGAACACACCAAGACTCTTTCCTCCTATTCATACTTAGATAGATAGACGTAACAGCAGGATTCAAATCTCACTGATCCTCACAGGGGTCTGAGCACTTATTCCCACGAAGCTTTTCAGGTCTCAGATCCTGACTCCTCTGTCTGAATGAAACTACAGTCCACCCCACAGCCTGAACTACCTGTGTTTGTCCTTGGTGTTGGTCTGTGGTTATACGTCGGTACATTTCCAGATTTGGGCCCACTGCAGCACTGCCTGCAGGGGCTGTAACTTCTGATAGGACAGCTATTTAGTTTTCCCAACAACCTCTAGAAGGACACTTTCTCATGGCC